CCCACCTATTAAAATGTAAATATTTGTAGTGTTTACTTCATAGCAGAGTCACAAGAGCTACATAAGTTAATATTTTTAGAACAGATTAAAACAGAGCTTGTCATATGGCAACCATTATACTTACTAAATGAATATAATAAAATTATAGGTGACATCAAGAACTGATTCTCTTTGCCTTACCAAGCTGAACTGGGCAAATCAAACTTTCAGTCAGATGAATACTCTCCAAATACATTCCACACATGTGGAACTTAATTTGGTAAACTCATTTTTTTAAACTAATAACTGCCTTTTATAGAGCTAAACCAAATCAAGATTGTAGAAACTTCAAATAATTAAAAAGGTGTTGTTTCTGATGATTGTTGAGTCCAACCCGTGGCACCTTCAGGGTGCTCTGGGCTGGTGCTGTTACACAAACAGCTGAGGAAGGTAAGTTAGGACAGAGCTGTGGGCTAGGTATACATCATCAGGACGCTGTCAGATGTGCCTGGATCTGTCCTGCCGCAGGAGTCCATAACACGCAATGGAGGCCTAATATTAGTAATCATTTTCAGATAAAATTAACAAGCTTTCTAAATATGGTTGAGCTTCAATGATTTAAGTTTTTGTTCTTTTTCTTTCTTTCTTTCTTTTTTTTGGTTGTTGCTGTTTTGCCTTTTTGGGACAGGGTTTCACTATGCAGTTCAGGCTGCCCTTAAACTCACTTTGTAGCCCAGGTGGGCCTTGAACTCATAGCAATCCTCCTGCCTTAGCCTCCCTGAGTGCTGGGATTACAGTGGTGCACTACGCCCAGCTTGTTCTTTTTCTTCTAAGGATGTTTATTTTCTGGAAAATGTCTCCTGATACTGAGGAGTTAATACACGTTTCCCAATGTTACTGAGTGAGCTAGAAGGCGGGTATTTTCACATAATGGTCCTTTTGTAGTTGATACTTGCTAAATCTAAGTACCAAATCTAAGACCTCTGATCACTGGTCTATAGTAAGAGCTGATGCAACTTTGCTTAAAATATTTTCAGAAGGACTTAATTTCAAATACCAATTTCTATAGCATGGATTACCATACTTCTGATCCCATTTACTAGTTTGAGTATTGTCACTATGAGTGATTTGTAATCCTTTCTTATTAAGGCTAGCAGCTTTCAAGCATTCATTAGTCCAATAAAGTCGTGTTCAGGTATGGAAGTTTTCAGACAAGTATCGAAGCTCTCAGAGAGTAATTGCAATAAGCAATTACAACAGAGTTGGGGTGAAGAGAGCAGGCTTTGGGGCCAGACAGCAGGGCTTGCGGCTCTGTTCTGCCTTTCATGCTTATGTAAGATTAGGCGCATGACCCAACTGTCTGGACCCTGCCTTCTCACCTACGAAGTACGTAAAGCCCTTGGAATTCAGGGGGTTAATGTTCCACAAATGCTGGCTGCCTGCTTCTTACAGGAGTTTTTATTTGTTTTGGGGGGTTCCCCCCCAATTAGTTATGTGCCTGATGAGAAGAATAAACATCTTCATTTCCTTTGCATTCCTCCACAGGCCCTCCACGTTGGTTCCTCCACCTGCACTGGGACAAGGTAATTTCCCACCATTAATGGTCAGGACACTGCCATAAAGATCACATTTACATTGTATTTTGTTTCATATAAATTATAGTTATAACAACAGAAGCCTCCTTTTAACTATACCAACTATTTCCACTAACTTTTATTGCTTAGCATTGAACTTTGAGCTGGAGGTACAGGCACTTCGGAGGCTGATGCAGGAAGATTGACATGCAGTCAAGGTCAGTTTGGACTACATAGTGAGTTAAAGGCCAACCTGAGCAACATAGCAAGACACTGTCTCAAAAGAAAAGAAAAAAAAAAAAAAGAAAATACTAAGAGGTCTGAGATTTGCCACAATCTGTTAAGCAAAAAGGACTGAAAAGGGATATAGTTAAGACAAGATCAGCCCTGAGCTGGTAATCGCGGAAGTTGGTGGAGGGTACACGAGGGCTCCTTACGTTAGTCTACTTATTTAATGTCTAAGATTTTCTAAAACAAAAAGTTGAAAAAAGAAGCAGAAACACATAAAGATTTGAAAACATTCACATAAGAAGAAACACAGCAATGCCCTAAAATCATGTTATATTTATAATAGATTTTTTCTGAGGTGAGGCAAACTCCGTATGCATGAGTTGTACCAGGTGGGATGAATAAAGCAAGAACTGTTGACAGCTCTGTGATGAAGGAAAAGACAGAGGTAAGACAGCCAGGGTCCTGTGTCCGACTGGCTCCACAGGAAACAATCAAGCCCAGTCCTACGATCCCTGCATTTCACCTGAAGACCGCAGTGGGATGTGAAATAAATCAGAATCAGACACAAGTTTAAATTTCACATTGTTTCTCTTATATGAGAAACCCAAAATACAAATACAGAGCAAATTAAAAGCTAATAGGAAGTCTGGAGAACTTTTTCAATTAGCAAGGGGAACAGAAGATGAAAACGGGGGATGAAAAGAGAACTGAAAGAAACAATGGAAATAGAGCTTTTGCAAATGGCAAGGGGAACGAGAGTTGGAGGGAGCAGGGAGGAGTGGGAGATGAAGTGTACGAAGAAAGAATTAAGATGTGTTATGTACGTGTATAAACACTCCCACGATAAATGTAATCATTACATACTTCAAAAAAAAAAAAAAAAAAAAGGAAGAAAAAGATCCTTGCCATTGCCTCATCCTCAGCCTGTCCACCAGGGACACTGCCACGCCTGGCTGGCAGTGTGAGCCAGACCCACTCTTCACAAGGTTTTCAACACTCCCCCAAAAGAACACATGCTATGTGGCCTGAGCCTTCAGAAATGCCAATCAAATAATCCTGCCATTGTTCCAAATATCTAGTGAGCATACACTGTGGTTCTTATTCATTCTTTTGCCAGACACCTTTAGAGGGACAGTGAGTGTGACAGGTGAGAACTACAGAGGGCCAGAGTGAGGCAGCAGAAGCCAGAGGAGGCACGCAGGCTGGACTGCCCTGCGGCCACTAGGGATCAGGTGCGGCATGAGAGGTGTGGAGGAAGGAAGGAAGAGGCAGGGAGGAAGGGCAGTAGCCCAAGCACATTACAGACCAGGAAAAGGGCCCCGCTCCTAGCTTAACTTTGGGTACTTTATATAAAGACATTCTTTTGGGGGAATCCTGTACCTAGATCATTTCCCTGCTTTCACCAAGTAAAAAGGGAATGCTAGAGATCAACACCTAAAAGTGCCTCTTTAGAAAACTTGAAATTGTTTATAACAAGATAAAATTCAAAAAGATGCTAATATTAACCATAAGTCCATATAATTTTATGTTAATGCAATTAAAGCATTAGTGGCCAAGGGAAATTCACATTTCTCAAAGACTAACATTACTGAGCAAAAAAGTACCACCATATCCCCATTACATTCCATACTGTTGGTTAAATACATTAAAGAGAACATATATAGTATATAAAATGTTACAAAGATTTTGTTAAACTATCCATAAACCAGAAACACTTCAACAGATAAGCGGGTGTTATCTTTAAATAATCTTTCACATTTCTAAAGTAAGAGCTGAGCTATATCTTGGGTCAGTTTTCTAGCCTTTAATTTCCCTTTTAAATGGTGCTGATTTGTGAAGGGGGAAAAGTCATTTAACACACTGATTCATTTCCTCCAACAGTGGAGTGTATCATATAGATTTGAAACTGGATTACCATTGTTATTTCCACACCTCATAAATTCTGTAGTTACTGCACAAAAAATACTACCTCCTAAATTCTATTGGCACAGACCACTGTCAAGAAATTAACAAGTATACTTGCAGTAGTGACTACCACATCAATTAATTCACCCAAAATATTACGGTTATAAATGTATGCATTGAAAGGAAAATTTCTATATTTTATAGAAAAAGAAATCAATGTTATCAGAAAAGCAATACTCTGAAATTACTTTGTTTACGAAACACTATATATGATTCAGAATCTTAAAAAATTGCTAATATGTATTTTATGAAGTATATATCTTTAAAAAACCATGGTACAGTTGGGTCATTAACTGATTTCAGTGATTCAATGCTAGTTCTCAGTTGAAATCTAAAATTTTTAATTTAAAAGATGACATATCCTTTAAAAGATGACATGCTCCACTTTAAGATAAATATCATTTCTTCAAATTAGAAAGTTTCAACACAAATTGAGTTAGATAATAACTAAATACATCCACTGCTAAGTTTTTTCCTAGAAATTAAAACTGAGGCTGCGGATGTAACTCAGGGGTAGAGCACTTTCCAGGCATTGAGAGACCCTGGGTTCAATCACCCCCATAGAAAGAAAACAAAATTAAAATTAAAAGCTTGCCAAGGGAAAACTACAAGAAAAACTCACAGAATTGAAACAGAAAAAGAAATATGTGAAAGCTTTTCATCATTTCACATCTCTGAAACTAATGGGAAGGTTTTCAAGTGTTTAGCTAGGGGGCTGGGGATTTAGCTCAGCAGCACAGCGCCTGCCTGGCAAGCACAAGGTTGTGAGTTCGATTCCCGGTACCGGAAAAAAACAAAAAATGAAAAAAGAAAAAAAAAAGTATTTAGCTATCGGTTGCTACCAGTTGATCCTGACTGGTTAGGAATAATGTAATTTACTTACTGAAAAATGAGAAGATACAAAGTATGGACCTCAAAAGGCAAACAAACCTCAGTGTGTAGAGAATCTATGTCTTCTTTGCAATATCAATACCAATAACTAACATGAGCAGCAGACTTAATACCAAAGCCATACTTCCATTCTGTTGACTATTACAATTCCATAGCCCTTTTCAAAGAACTTGGCATGCATTAGCCCATCTCACCTTCGAGGGCAGGCAGCTTTGGAACTCTTAAGACTTCTACAAATGAGGAGAGTGAGTATAATGCATAAATGTGCACAAGATCATGTATCTTAAAGTGGACCAATGACAAATATCCACCTTCTAATATTAAGAAATTCAATTCCTACCTTAAGGTGTGGTTGCTTACCTGATTGGCCTGTTCTCTTTACTGTCAAAGAGTGAGAAGATGACCTCCAGCTCCTCTCCCAGGTTGGAACACATGAGACTCTTCATCTGGACGAAGAGGTGGTGACTGCTGGCCTGCACCGGCGTGTCTTTCTTGCGATGTCGATGTTCCATCTGCACGGCACCCCCACCCCAAGCAAAAACACCATCACTGTGGACTGAAGAAAACCACAGCATCTAACAAAACGAGGCAGCGACAGTGTGAGCGTGATGTTCTCCACTAAAATATTTTCACTGTAGATTTGGTATCCACCTTTCAATTTTTCCTCTAACATCTATAATAAGAAACTGTGAAGTCTGTAGATCACCAAGAGATACTTAAGACTTTTTAAAACTATTAATGCTACAATGCTCCCGACTCATAGAGTAGCATTAGGAAGTTCAAATGATTCTGTTGCTTCCTGTCAATTCCCAGGATGAGAATTAATCAGTCATCTTTTTAAAAAGACTCTATTTTACTGATTTTTCCACTGATGCTAGCTGAACAATGTAGCTATGACTTCTTATTTCTCATAATTAAAAGTTCTTTTGAAAATTACACTAAATTGCAAAATTGTCATAGTTTTGCAGACAGGCTGTAACAAATGATATTCTGTCTCTAAAACGAGGAAATGTATCTCATGTGCTGTGGCAATATAGGCAGACAGACACAATAGAAATATGCATCTGTGTCCAACTCACTCATCTCGTCCTCTGAGACTAAGCATGGGATGGAGACCAGGAGTGAGAACTCCCTTGGGTTGAAGGAGAGGAATCACCTACAGGTCCAGGCGTTAGAGTAACAGAGAAAGTTGCTTATTCAACCTATTCACCATCTGTTAAGCATCTACTGCATGCTAAGCACAGGGAATGCGATGGTGAGAAAATATGGAGATAGCTCACGGGATCTATTAGGGGAAGCACACATCCACGAAATACACACACACACACACACACCATGCAAGGAAGGGCTATACTATCTGGAGAGTCTGGAAAAGAGCTTTTGACTTCCATCTAGGCAAACACAGATGGCGTTCTGGAAATGTGACACTGCAGCCGAGAAGGAGACGGAGCAAGAATTATGACTTCCCCAAACTGCTAGCAGCAACCAAGGTGCTGCTCCCCTAGTCCCTCAGAGATGATACTTTCATAAAACACAACAGCAATACCATGACAATGTCAAAATGTTAGGAAAGTTTCTTATTTCTTACTTGTCCTTCTTACCCGGAGCCTGGTTACCAACGGCTCCGAGTCCAGCCAGCTGAGACCACACTCTGAGAGGCACCGATTCAGGATAAGAAGATAGGAAAAACAATGGCAGGGCCTGTGTGTTGGCAGAGCAGGTGCTCAGGAAGCCGAGGATCACCACTTCCTATCAAAGACTGCTCATGAAGTCATCTCTTTTGAATCACTTGACAATTAATTCAGGGATTTTAACTTCATGGTAACAGAGCCATAGCCTTTGTTGGGGGTAAACTTACATAACCCCGTTTCTTTATTAGCCACCTCTTTAAGCTTCTAAGGAGAGCTCTACAATTACTGAATGACCAACTTTTTAAGACAAAATACCATCTTTACCATTTACAGCTGTAAGTCCAACAGCATACAGTCATCAGAATATTTTCATGCTTTTAGTTTTTACTTTGAACTACTTGGAAAGTATAAGTTTAACACAACAGAACCAACTAAAAGCATCTGTAATTACTGTGCACTCAACAGGTGCACTGGGTATCTCTCTGTAAATCTGAAGAGTAAGTGCAGTTTTTAAAAAGGAGATCTTGGTAGTGTGGTATGTTTTGGCCAGATTATTAGAAAAGGTTCCCGGAAAAAACCATTCTAACTGTAGAAAAAAAGTCATAATTCTGCCTTGTTTTCTAAGAAAGTTGATTTGCTTTGTGTTTTAAAAATTCTTTTTGCTATGGCAGAAAAGCATCACATATTCATAAAACTGCATTTCTTTATTTCACAAAGAAGTCTTTTCTCTTCTCCACAGAATTAATATCTTACTCTCTGAGTTCCTTAAGATGCTCAACACGCATATATGATACAGGATAACAGCACAAGACACTGAGGAAATAAATGCCCACCAAAAGCCAGGGCTTCAGAAACAGAGATAACAACCTCATGAAAAGAACTGACCTCAAGGACCTGTCTGCTCTTGCTTCATAGACTGCAAGGTTCCCAGCATCAATCATGATATTCACTTAAGAACCCATTCAAAAAATTAGTTCCCTTACTCATGCAAAGAATCCAATATATTGAGATCAGTGGTTCCCAACCTTGGTTGCACTTTACAGTTACCAAGAGAGCTTTTAAAAAATACTTATGCCCAGGTCCTCTCCCAGAACAATTAAATGAGAATTTCTAGGGGATAGGGATGCAGGCGGTGGTAGTTTTAAAAGCTCCCTAGGTGACTCTAATGGGCAATGAGGGTTGAGAATCCCTAATCGAGATCATATGTAGAGAGCTGCAAATCACAGCAAACTGAAAAATGTACTGTTGCATCTTTCGAATAACTGCCTTAGAACTGATGGGATGCTAGTAATAAGCCTGTCTGGCTCTGCCCTTTGCACTTATAACATGGGGCCTGGTGTCTGCCATTGCTGTCTCCTCTCTTCCCCCGCTCCAGCCACCATTCTTCCAAGTCTGACACAGATTTGGATTATGTAGGTTATGCTTACTTGCTTGTCTCTTGGTACTTCACTGTTTGGGGGAGCTGCTAAAAATATCTCTGTGAAAACATTATTGCAATAACAATTATAAAGGCACATTCACACTTCAAGAGCTATAATTTGGTAGTTATAACACAGAGGCAAAAATCTATCTGGAAATAATTTATGGTTACAAATGTGCCTACCAGCTACTCTACATGTGCTTACAGTTTAACTAGACCTTTGGGTGGGAAACATGCATCCCAAAGATTTATTTTACTGACAAATTTTCAGTCCTCAGATAATGCATTCATTAGCAGATGAGCTATTTGCACCAGCGTCCCTCCATCTCAGTACTACTAACAGTTTGGGCTGAATATATCTTCATTGTGAGGCTGCCTCCAGCTTTGTAGGATGTTTAGCAGCTTTGTCTGGCCTCTCCCCACCCCAAACCTTGTTGTGACAATCAGAAAATGTCTTCAGATAATGTCAAATGTACCCTGGGGAGAGGGGCAACATGCCCTCACAGAACTACTATTTTCCATTTGAGAACCACTAGTCTAACCCACGAAGGACACCAAAGCAAGGAGATAGCACGATATTATGAAACCATAAAAGGTTCCTCTTAAAGATATTCTGCAGGCCCAAATCCAGCTAATTAGCACCCTTTATTTATTGCAGGATTGAGATCTGGCCTTTGGCACTACACCAGAGTCTCTAAGTGGACATATGTTAACACTATGAGGTTTAGCACTTTTACTGCTTAGCTGAGCATAATTAGGTGAGAAAGATCTGCTAACAAGGCTAGCAAATACCTAAACAAAGACTTTTTTTTACTCTTTTTTTATTTTACGAAATACGAATTTAGTAAGATGCAAACGCTTGTGACTCTGGTAAGAAAGAAATAAAACATCCTCTGTTGGAGCATTTTAGCCCCTCATCCAAAAGTGATGATAAACTGCCTAACAATAAGAGATTGGTGATAACTCCAATCTCCTCCTGGTGATATCAATGCAGTCATCACTGTCATGCTACACAGGAAAAAAGACTAGGATTACTGAGTATCAGACTACTGCAAGGCCAGGACACAACAGGAACTTCAAAAAAGAAAGCTGCTTTACAAGATAAAACATGTCCTTCTGAAGTTTACAAGCCCTGGGTTCTCCTTGGGCCTTTGCTTTAGAAATAGTAAAATTTAACTGCTAATGAGGAGAAATTAAGTTTTCACGCAAAATCACAATGTTTTATTTTTCTCATCTGAAAAATGATGAGTTTGGACTAGAACGTGAGCTATAAAACACTGAAATACCCACTAAACCAGGGTCTAGATGAAAGCCTAGGATCTTACTGCCATCTGCACTCCCAGTAGCCATCACCAATAAACAGTGTCGTAAGAGGTGAAATCAATATGCCACCCATATGTCATGTTAACTGACAAGAACACACAAAACTGACCTGGAGAAAAAAAAAAGGTATGCGTCAGACATTATTAGCTGCTTATCAAGTATGTGACATCCCCAGCTGAATCTGGGAGCAAGGCCTCTGCTCTGCCAATGAAATGTAATTGTGAGTGTGCAGAACTTCCAGGAAAGCTCACCGAAGTAAATGAATTAACCACAGGAAACTGCCCTTCAGAGTGACTGAAGCACAGATGTAATGGCCACCACTCTCGCAGCTATGTTGTACTTTGAGGTGTGCTTCACGGTGGAATCAGTGTGCTACAGAACAGAAAGGTAAGAGCCTCTATCCCTGCTCACATCATGAAACCTCAAATCAACTCCGAACTTTCTGCTTCTAGACTTCTATATGAAGAATTAAATTGCTATCATATCTAAGCTTCAATTATTTATTTCACTAAAACAGCCAGATTTGAATTTAAGAGTTAACATACATGTTAACAATTATTCTTATCATATTGCCCCTCTCACACAGATGAGAAAGGAAGAAAACTGACTGTCTATTTAGGTGTTTTGCAGGTATCTGTCAACAAAAGACATTTTACGTGTACTTCTTATGTAATCATAACAAACACAGAAAGGATTATTTCTCCATTCAGTAAGATGAAGAAAATGAAATCAGAGAAATTAAATAATAAGTCCGAGATTGCAGAGCTGGCAAAGCCTGCTCTCGTTGTTTGGAGCCAATCCACGGTCTATTTCTAATGTTATGAATGAACTCAAAAAACACTGTTTATTAAGTCAAAAAAGATCCTTGTGCTCACAATAGGGCAGGAGAGGGAGTGTGCAAGCTGAAGAAGCTTAACAAAGGGAGAGATCTGGAAACAAAAGAAAACAAAACAACTGAAGCAGTTTAACATTCCGAATCTTTTTAAAACTGACGAAATATAATGTTCAATGGGTTAAATAAGCTATAGCTATGTCCTATCAGAAGATGTGACTGACAGACAAGTTACATGAATTCCATAAAGCAGTGATGATGACTTTAACATGGAACATTACTGTTTTGTTCCTTCCTCCTTTCCTCCCACCGTTCACCTTTAACTGTCCTCTTGCTGTGTACCAGACACTCTGCTTGGCATGCAGCAGGCAGCATTGCGCTCGGGAAGTTCAACGTGCAACAAAGGAATCTTCTACAAAAACAGAATGTGCTCCTCTAACAGCATAAAACATATACAGACAATCTGGGCTATTAAAAAAAATATATTAACTGTGTCTGCCTTCTCAAAATTCAAGACAGCCCTGCCAGACTCACTGATGATTTTTACCCATCTTTTTCAGAGATGGATAAAGCCCTGGGTAAGAATGTGCCACTGCTCTCAGTATACTGGATGCTTGGGATGCTACCCCAAAAGACGCAGGATCTTCTAAATGACAGTCTGCATTTCTGATAGGCATTCTTCCCAGGAACATTAGCATAAGACACAGTAGTAAGGGGACCGCCATAAAGTTATGCTTAGGTAAAGTACTTCCTAACCATCATCTTCAGGGTAAAGAGAGCTTAGTTAATGTTAAGAAGTTATGTACATTGTACATAAGTATCTAAGAATACAAAGCTGGATTCAAGGCAGATTATCACTTTTTTTTTTTTTTTTTTGGTAGTACCGGGGATCAAACTCACAACCTTGCGCTTGCCAGGCAAGTGCTTATGCCACTGAGCTATATCCCCAGCCCCCTGGATTCAAGGCAGATGAGACCAAATCTCAAGAATCTAGATACCACATACAAAATACTAGACTTTAACCTAGCAGACAACCAGAAAAAAAAATAAAAATAAAAAAATGAAACAAAACTCAAGTCACAGGTGATATTTTTGGGTTATTAATGGTATCTACCACTTAGGAATAGACTGGGGCTGGGTATAACAGCAGGAGTTGAAGGCTAAGGAAGAGACACTTTCCACAGGTATAAGAGCAGGAGTTGAAGGTTAAGGAGGAGACACTTTCCACAGGGGAAGGTTCTAACAACAATGGGGCAGCAAAGAGGACAACATATTGGTGAACAATGGCTAGAGACCATTAGCTAGAAAATTATCTTCAAATGCCACAGGCACATGTGACTTGTAGGCATTTCACTAGACTAGGTAAAAAGTACAAAGATTTGCAAAACATCTTAAAACTCTGAATTTACTTCCCAGCCCAGTGGAGAACATCACGTCACCCCAAGACAGTGAAAATGTCTTGGTCTATACTTGGGGCACGGTAACCTCAGCTCCCAATTCCCTTTATTCTTTTCTAATTGAACCTGGAACACTCTGTTCTTACAAAAGCAAACAGGGGTGAAGAATGCCATGGAAACTGGAAAATCAGCAGTGAGGCTGTGAATCAATGTTTCTTGTACCTACCAATCGGTAAAGCTCAGTAATGCTGATGTCCTCGGGATCCACCATTGCATACTCTTTCCTGGGCACCAGGTCCAGTCCCAGTTGTCTAGGAAACAAATTACAAAAATGTGGGAGAAAAGTCATCTCTGTGGAATGCACTGAACGCCATTACTTTTACAACACCACCTTCATGGTAGAGGCAGCACCCACCACACTTCTCTCACCCACAGCTCTGCCTTGTGTAACTTGTTAGTACGGTGAGGGTAGAAAAGTTACTAGGCTGAACACTGAGCATAAAAGAAGCAAAAGATGCCAAAGATGGGTAAATCCAGTGGAGATTTACTGGTGCTCTGGCTGGAATGAATGCCACAAACTATCACCAGAGAAGGCCCCCACACTGGAGTAGGGTACGAAGTAGATCTAGAAATAATTTAGTTCTGGAAACTGGAGTTGCGAGAGGGGAAAGTTGGTCTCTGGGATCTGACCGGGCACTAAGATAGCCTATCCAGTGTAAGTCTCGGGCAGCTTATGCTAGAGGTCCTCGTTCATGGCAGGTTCTAGGGTTAGACAGGAAAAGAAACCCAGTCAGAGCACAGAACAGAAATTGGAGCAGGACAGTTCTAGGTCTGGGGTGGAAAAACGGCTTCGTCTCTTGTGAGAAGTATTGTTGGTGGACACGTAGCTTACCTTGCCAAGAAGTACCGCAAGGTGATATCCAAGCTCATGGGGATCAAGCACAGCAATTTATTTAGAATGCCTTGCTGATGACAGAGGAATGTGGCCAGAGGTCTGTTCTGGCCAGTTGCCCTCTGGTGACCTCAGTAATAGTCCTCTTTAGGGTACTTACTCTTCAACACTGATCCCAATGCCATACCACTCCTCACCTTCTTAACATACTCATCACCAATGACTTCACTATGCTTTTCTAATGTGCTGCAGACTAAGGCCCAAATGCCCTTGCTCTATGACACTACCCTCAATGACCACACTCTAGGTCTCACACTTAATTCCCCAAGGATAATTTATTCCACATTCCTTCCAGTCATCATTCCAATACAGAAGCTTTCTGGCATTAGACTTCCAATTATAGACCCACAGGTTCTTACTTTAGTTTAAAAAAAAAAAAAAAAGAATCCTGAAGTTGTATGCTCTTCTCAAAATGTCATTAAAGTTTCAAAAATAAAACTTATTAATTCAGCACTTATTTCAAGCCAAGCCACCCTGAGAGATATTTGTTTTCAAAATGAGGAGACTGTCATTTCCTTGAGAGTAGGAGCTATCTATCAGTTACCAAAACACTTCCTTCATTTTCCTAAATTATGTTACTGTTTGAGAAATTCAAGGAAGTCACACATCCATTCCTCGAGTTTAACTTTCAAATTACATCAAGCTCAGTGATTTGTTTGCAAAATATCCATGCCCTCCTGCTATGTCTCCCCAGGGATGCTGGTAGGATCTGCTCTCATTCCCGTCCCCTCCCAAGAGAGAATCACTGCACTGAAGGATAAGGCATCATTGGATGGCAGTTCTACATTGCCAATGAAAGATTATCTAGCAAAGGAAGGAGACCACATAGCCACATAGCAATCATAGAGTTTGTCTTCCCAAAGGTCCTTCTGTTTAAATCTGGGCTACCCATGTTCTATCCTAGAAAGGCCAGGCAGAGGGCACAAGTCCTCTAATCATCTTCCCTTCCCACTGCTCACCAGACTGGCCTGAAGGGAGGCACCTGCCCTGAGTACAATTTGTCCATGGGTTGGCCAGCAATTTATGAGAAGGTGGCATAAAATGTGCATTCCAAACAGGAATAATAGCTATTGTCTGCCAATGAGATTCCTCCTTTGTGAATTTGATCCTGGAAATTCAGACAGCATCAGTCATGTGGCATGAATAATAAGACAAGTGAAGAGCAGCTGATGCACATCACTGCAAAATGAGGAAGGATAAACTCTAGCACCACAAGCTCTGAGGCAGGTGTGGGCTGCAGTACCTTCTCTGAATTTCAGGCTTGGGAAAGGGTATTATGTAAGTGTTCCCTTACCCGCTAAAGCTTGACTTAACTTCTACTGGCTTCCTATAGTCTCAGCTGTATGGGGTTATAAAGCAGTTCTGGGCAACAAAAGCAAAGCAGGAGGCATCACAATCCCTGACTTGAAATTATACTATAAAGCTACTGTGCTAAAATCAGCATGGTACTGGTAAAGAACCAAAAACAAATAAACAAAAAAAAAAAAAAACCAGACCTGAGGATCAGTGGAACGGACTGGAAGATGCAGCCACAACCACAAACACTCTCAGCCACCTTATCCAACAAGTTCACTGGAAGAAAGATAGCCTCTTTAATAATTGGTTCTGAAAAAACTGGCTCTGTACATGCTGAAGATTAAAATTGGACCCATATCCTTCACCATGCACTCAAATAAGTGTGAGATGGATCAAAGTTCTAAATATTAAAACAGAAACATTAAATCTTCTGGAACACAGAATAGGTAAAATGCTTAAAGACATTGGTTTAGGCAAAGACTTCATGAATAAAACCCCAATCATATGGGAACTATCACAAAAAATCAATAACTGGGATTTCATCTTATTAAAAAGCTTTAGCACTGCAAGAAAAACCACCAAAAAAGTGAAAAGACAACCCACAATGTGGGAAAAAATGTTTGCCAGCTGTTCCTCAGACAAAGGATTACTATCAAGAACATATAAAGAACCCAAAACAATCAGACCTCCCAAATTTAGAGACCCAATCCAAAAATGGGTGTCTGAGATGAATACACACTTCTCAGATGAAGAAATACAAAGAGCAAATAAATATATGAAAAAATATTCAACATCATTGGTCATTTGAGAGATGCAAATTAAAACAACACTGAGATTCCATCTCACCCCAGAAAGTATGGCTATTATCAAGAAATCAACCAAAAAAAAAAAATGCTGGAGGGGCTGCAGGGGAAAAAGGAACCGTCCTACGCTGCTGGTAGGAGTGCAGACTGGTGTAATCACTCTGGAAATCAGTGTAGGGATTCCTCAAAAATGTAGAATTGGAAGTCCCATTCGGCTTAATTATCTTCTGGCATCTTCTGGGTATCTTCCCAGAAGAATTAAAAACATCATACCACAGTGATATATGTGTGCCCATGTTTAAGCAGCACAATTTGTAATAGCTAGATCTTGGAAACAACCCAAACGCCCATCAACTGAGGAATGGATAAAAAAACTGTGGTCTTTTTATACAATGGAGTACTACTCAACCATAAGGAAGGATAAACTGCAGTCTTCTATAGGTAAATGAATACAACTCCAGACCATACTCATAAGTGAAATTAACCAGATACACATGTGTAAACATCGTATTGTCTCCCTAGTGTGAGAAGCTGAAAGAGTGAGTAAGATCCAAAATGTATAACAGATATTGTAAAATGGGAAGAAACTTCAAAAGGAAAGAGAAACTGGGATGGGGGAATGGAGAAAAGAGGAAGGGAAAAGCCAAATAAAATAAATTTTATATATATATTATATATGCATATATATATATATACATACATATGAGAATGAGATAGTTAAGATAGTTATACTACTAATTTCCTTTAGTTCACTGAAAAGAAAGGATTGTGCTAGTATTGTTTGCACAATTAAATACTGATACCTTGTACTCTGAGTAACTAATTTAAAGATAACAATACACAGTGTATTAACCATTGTTAACTGCCTATTACCCTGTTTTGAAAATTTTGTCTTAAAAAAAAAAGACAGAGGAAGACAATACAGGATACGGGAAGCCAGGAGTTGGTCAAGGAGAAAGGGTCAAATTTTATGTCAACTCAGTTATTAAACTATTTCTTGACATCAGGAAAAAAGAATGAATGGATTCTCCCTCCTACATAATCTCAAAGGACACCGTAGGCCTCCATGGGAGACAGAAACAGCTACCATTACTGTAATGATGCCTGAGGATACCAGCGAGAACACTGCTTTTTGCAGATCTCATCAGGGAACAAAATGTGATCTCCTCCTCCACTAAGCTATCTGCACCCAGAGAACGTCTCTTCATCAGTCCGATACACAACTTGATATCGAACACATTCTTAATTTATGTCCATCCAGAGATTGATCTGTAAGCAAATAAATTCACAGGACCACCTCACCTAGTTTAACAGGCAAGGGAATTATCTTAATTCATTTTCCACTTAGCATTCTTCTACAGGAAAACAAATTTACATTTAAAAGAACAAGTAAATATATAATCTTTGTGCTGTAAATTATTTTAAGATAAGCAGTCAATAAAATTCAAAGAAAAAAGAATGAAGGTTTGGAAAATTCACAAATTCGAGGATGATTTAAATAAATTACACTTTATTTTCATGCATCAATGTTTTAAAAACTTACCATGAATTAGCCCCAGAACTAACCAAAGTACTACGAGCTAGAGCTCATGTAAGTCAAAAAGTGAGTCATGATTCAGTCATGATCAATGATTTGCCCCCCTCCCTTCAGCCATCATCTTCCTTCATTAAACTAAGAGTAGCATTTTCCTACCTGCTCTGTATTTCCACATTGTTTTTGATAAGCTAACCTTACGCAAGTTCATTACTGTTTACAAACTCATTTTTTTAAAAATGAGGACCATAAAAATGACCATGAGCCAATTAGAGTTCAGTGCAAACTCAAACGTTTTCAAAATAGTACAGAAATGGGGCTGGGGATTTAGCTCAGCGGCAAAGTGCCTGCCTGGCAAGCGCAAGGTCGTGAGTTCGGTTCCCGGGACAGGAGGAAAAAAAAAAAAAAAAAGTACAGAAATACATGGAATTCAGGCAGCACAGGGCCAACTCCAATAGCCTGTGGAGCCTCCCTTCCCAGCACGACTGGGACGCACACAGCAAGAGCAAGCTCAGCCCCAGCGCTGGCAAACCTAACTCTCCAGGCAGCACTGTGTTTTGAATCACTTCGTCCTGGAGCTAAAGTCACTCTGGGATCCTCCAGGGCAGCTCACGCCTTTGCCAGATGAAGAATGAAAGTTAAGAACATTCCAGGAATGTGCTTCCAGTCTTTAAAAAAGCAGAGCTCCTAACCCACTGCTCTTGCACCACTCTACACTTGCACTTGCTGTGTCTCTCAAAGGGATGAAGCACCTACAGATAAACAAATGGTGCTGCGCAATCACTGTTTGTAAAAGCATGAATAGCGCACCACATCCAACAAGATCCCAGAAGTGCTTAAGGATATAGTATCTGACATTCTGGCAGGAATCAAACTGCCTTCTGATAAAGTAATTTCCTACGGTCAGGGGAAGAAATACTCTACTTTCAAAGGGATTTCTCCAGGTTCAATAACAGGCAAATTTATGTATGGTTCCCTTCTCCTTTGCCTCTGCTTTTCTTTTTGTCTGCTGCCCTAAGATCCCATGAAGGTCCGAATAGCAAATGGTTTCTGGGGAAGAAGAAGGACAGGGAGGGTATGGCCTTGTAAGTTGTCAAGCCATTATTTTGCTGGCTTATACTTTATGCAATGCTAGAATCTGACTGTTGGCTGAAGTTGGCTGATTATAATTTTTCAATCTTTTATTAGTATTTATGCTTTACATCAGTTTTGGTCAGAGTTTTCAGTGGTTAGATTTACTACTTAAGTGCTTGGTTGTTGTTTTAAATAAGTGCCCACACTTCTATTTAAAAGTAAATCTTAAAAAAACAAAAATGAAAAGTAAATCTTGGTCAAGGACAGTGGTCCTCTCAAGCAGCCTCTCCGAGCGGCTCATATGTATGCACAGGATTAATTGCGGCGATGACAAGAGGCCCCAGAGGTGCACTTGTCATAAGACTTTTACCCCAAGCTGCTAACATCACTGTCTCTCTCTGGATTACACGGTCACCCACGCCCCGGCAGGGGGTGTACACATTACATTGAAAGTGAATAAATATGCCAAACCTAGACTACTGGAAAACAAGACCCATTTTAGCCAGGAGCTGTAGCTAACAAATCCTTGTGAATATTTCCCTTTCTGTGAGCACACCACCATGCCACAGAGCGGGCACCAGGCAACAAACAGCAACTCAATACCACACCAGGCCTAGAGGATGTGGCTCTTGGCTCCATCAGGGACGGGGGAAAAAATGGGGAAACTGATTTCTTCCATGGACATTACCATGCACTGCCTCACACCCACATCCCTTCTGCTGTGTTCGCCCCCAGAGAGCACCGGTGTGGCTAGTACTCACTCGTTGCCCCAGTCCAGGCGAGCGGTAATGTGGCGTTTGACATCCTTCATCCGGTCGTGGGTGAGATGGCCAACCAGCACCTGCCGCCGCAGATCAAGGATTTCATTCATGATGTGCCACAGCCGATGGAAGAGATCCCCTTCATTTCTCTGAGAAACACAAACGTGGAGATCTGGCGTCAGTCCCCGTACTGGCTTGTAGGGTAACCGGAGAGGAAGGGGAAGGGCGCGGGTCCAAGGCATATGGTTGCGGCGCTGTGGACAGATTCTCTGTCTGGAGACGAAGTCTTCCTTCACTGTCCTCAAGTGCACCTGCTGCTCTGCCTCCTTACATCCAAGTTTCACAGTGCTGCTCTCCTGTCCAAGAAGCCAACACCACTTCTCAGACTCCCCAGCGCAGACAATGTATTCTTGTTTCTCACTGCGCCTCCACACCCGGGCTCGGCCCGGTCCCTGCACTCTGAACGCCGCCCTCTTTCCACTTGTGTGCTCCTTTCTTGCGTTCAAACCCGCCCTCTTTCAGGGCTCAGCCTGACTCCATTTCTATCAGCCAACCTTCCCTGAGAAATCTTTCCTCACCCTTTCCTCCCTTCTCTGAGACACAGATCCATGGAACTGGAGTAAATAAAATGGAAAACCCTGTTTTCCAACTACTTCTTGCACACTGGTCCTCATGCCTTCGCAGACTTCCCAGCAGAGACAGGTCACACGGAGGACTCAGATTCATTTGCAGATGGATGTTTCACTGCCCTTATCAGCTCAGTCTAGACCTTAAAAATAATGGTTGCTTTTTAGATATTCAGGTAGATTCATAATAATCTCCCATGACATCCATTAAGTGCCACGACTTAGAGGAAAGAAGGTAAGTTGAACTCCTGGCTTTAAATTCTGGTCTTGCCACTCGCCCTACAGTTTCACAGACTTGGACTATGAGTTTTGTCTTCTGTGCAACAGGGCAGTAGTATCCTCCTGCAAGGTGGCGGCCGTGGTGGTTGAGATTAACTGTCAACTTGACTGGCTTGGGAGCTGCCTAGGGGATGAGTCAAGCCCTCTTCCGAGTGTGTCTGGGTGGACCTGGGTACTCTACTAGGCCCCTCACCCCTTCTCCTCTGGCACTGTTCCCCTGCTCTGCATTCCAGCGGCCACAGACTAACCAGCTTTGCTCTATTGTGCTTTTACACCATGATACTTCTGCCTCGGAGCCCACCAGTAACAGCCTGAAACCACTGAGCTGAATTAAACCACTCTTCCTTTAAGCTGGGAGTGTCCGATACTGTATCCCAGTAACAGGAAAGCTGACCAATAAAGTTGTTTCACAGAGTGGTGCTAACATATGTGAAGACGGCACCATAGCACACTGGTAAAGAGCATGTTTTGGAGCCAAATGACTCTGCTTCTGAATTCCAATTTTGCCATTTACTGGCTATAAACCTTTAGCAGTATGGTTGGTACAAAGTTCAGAATATAGCAATATATTTAACTTCTTTGTGCTTGTTTTTTTGTCTGCAAAACAGGTACCACAGTATCTAATTCATAGGGTTCTGAGGATTAATAAATTAGTATAAAAAAACTCTGATAAAAACGCCTTGTTCACAATAAATATCATGTAAATATTAGTAGTTACTAGTACTGTCAATGTTTGGGCTTAGTGTATAGTAAGACCTCCATAGAGAATTCTCTTTACCAAAACAAAAACACGCATCTCTTACCCTAAAGACGTTAAGGTAAACCTTATGTAATTATTTATCCCTTTCTTTTTTACTAGAAGCCATACTTTTACTTTTTACAAAAATTATTGGTAGACTTATAGGCACAGTGATATGAAACTATTGAGGCTACGACCCATGTGAAGTCCTCTACAGCTATACACTACAAGAAATATCAAGTTCTCTGTGATGGGTAAAGATATTCAGTTGTAACACAGTTTCTTATTTTACAGAACAGTGACTTGTTTTCTGCCTCATCAATACTTAGTGTCTTGAGGAGTTTTCACATGCTGTCTAGGTCAGACACATCTGCCAGAGGAACAAGAAGCATTCTCCAGAATGCAGCCCTGAGCCTCTGAGATATAAATAGTCTTGCTCGCCTCTCAACACCTAAGGCACTTTATTGACCATGTCTATTACATCTTGCTTGTTCCTCATGTTGTGTACTCCCTTACAAGCCAGTACAAGGGCACTGTGACATACCACTCTCGTAATTAACCACTCAGTGCCGTGTCTTCCACGGGGCTCTAACCTCCCAACCACAGTGGCTGCGCCTGCCTTTTGTGGCCCCTGCAGGTGGAGACTGAATGAATGAAAACCTTCATTTATCAGTGTTACTTCTTTGTGAACCTCAAGAGGCAGGTACTGCTTAAGTCATACAGAAAAATAAGCAGGGAAGATCAAAGACCACATAAGAAAATCAGTAGTAGGAAGAAAAAGTCCACTGAATCAAACTATTACATAAGAAAAATCGCAAAGAGAAGTCAAATCTCAGGCGGCGAAGGAGAGCGTCAGCACCCACTTGAACAGACAGTGGCCTTGAGAAAGTCAGGCACCTCTCTTAGGGAAGCATTCTACAGTTGGCCAGCAGGGTGGTCCTGATGTTCTAATACCTTTAGGATTTCAATTTAAGAGAATGCTGAGAAGGAAGCAGGCTCCCTTATACACATAAAAACAGGCAGGTCAGCCTCTTTAGGGACGAAAACCTAGAGGTGAAGGATCACTGCCATATCACAGCCCTGGCCATCAAACTTGCCCTGCTATTATAAGAGAAAAGTACACATCGGAATGGACATCTGGTCATAAACTTATAGGTTACAAAAATAGGATTTGAAAAATTGATAGCTTTGAAAGCTATGAAATATTGATAGCTATCCAGAAATATAAAAATCTTTTGACTTAGTATTGAATGAAAATGTATGGTACAATATTAACACACTTGGAATAAGATGATACATAGAAATCCCTGTACTGTATCAGAAATGTAGCAAAAAGTTAATTGCATTTTCATATTATAGACAATGAGTAAGTTTTTATTTGCTTTAAAATAAAAATAGCACTGGTTTCAGCAGCAGACCTAGATTTAGATTCAGGCTCTGGCACTTAGCGTGGGACTCTGGATAAATCATTTTTTATAAGATTCAAGAATAAAAACTACCTGGCAGAGCCTCAGGAAACAGAGATGTAAAACAGTTCAGGGCCTTCACCAAAGTACTTGGTAAAAGATGACTGTTATATTTCTCCTGAGCCTTTTGGGGTAAAATTACTGATATTTTATTAAGTGATTTTTTTAAAGGGCATGATTTAGGCCCTTATCAAAATTATTTAAAAGAGCAAATAGCATTTCTCAAACTTTTACCATGTACTTTTATATGAAGTGCCTGACATATATAATCTCACATACAGTGCCTTCATCAAACATCTTTCAGTGAAGAAACCAGCTGCTTTAAAACTATTGGAAAAGAACATGGACAATACTCTCAATACACTCAAGCATGATGAACTGAAACTAAATACTTGGCAGAAAACATTCATAACAAGAAAAGAGAAGTCTAAATGTCCAACATAGCCAAGTTAAACTCATTCCCAGTGTTAAAACTCTAATATCCTTGGGTTAAACTTTGTATTTGCTCCTCATACAACTGCACTCCAGTAGTCAAGGACACTGAGATTATGCTCGGTCTCTCCCATTACTCAGGACACTGGGAGGAGAAGAGATTACTTTTAGAGTTCACAGCACATAGATTTTCAAGCCAAACAAGTCTGTCCCCAAAATAGATGCTCGCAACCTCAAAAGCAGGTAAAAATAGCTAGGTAAGACAGAGTAAAAAAGGAATTTAACTTTATTCCCCACTAGTCGCTACATGAAAGGAAAGCTTCAGGTGCTTTTGCTCAACTAATGGACAGCACTTACACTATCGTTATTTTTATAACTCTCATATGTTGGGTGTTTCAGGTGCAGTGGCTAGAATATTTCACACAGCTTCTATGTTCCTGTTAATGTCATGCACAATGTTACTTTAAGTGAAATAAAACTCAGATTTATATGTTTTACAACATAATTAAAAAAAAATTACAAGGGAGATCTGTATTTCTATGGCACTGTCCCACAGCAGAATCTTTGGGTCAGTTGCCTTGATTTTGTGTTTACAAAACTACAATCGAGTAACTCATTTAAGATCTAAGACTGCCTTGTGGATTTGCTTCATGAGTCCTAAAGCCACCAACTCCAGGGGAGGTATGGCCAGGGGACTCCAAATCAGAGCGTTTCTATGGGCAACATTTTAAGATTATCTTTTCCCAATGAAATATCCTATTGCACGCAAGAAATAAGAGCATATAAACCATTTTTCTGTGCTAATGACCTTCACTAATTTGAATTTTCTTTTTGACGGGCTGTTTCAAATCAGTGTGTCAGGATAAATACACCTTTCTGTTCTGCATAGATCCTTTCCAGTGATTAAGCTGTTCTACAAATTTCTTTGACAATAAAATAAAAAAAATCATATTTATCTTCCTCAAATTATCTTCGCCCCCAGACTTCTGCATACACAATGGTTCTGAGAAAGACCACCAGACTTGCCTCTGAACCCCAGCCCAGACACTTTCCAATAACACAGGCCTCCTGAGGATTTGTTTCCCAAGGTTGCAGTTTTCCACAGTCAACTGAGGCATGAGGATATGAATGAAATGAGAAATTCACAATTTGCAAGTTTTAAACCATTTTCACTACACCATGTTATTATAATCAAGTCCAACTTTTTAATTATTGTTATTCTCTTACTGTGCCTAATTTGTAAGTTAAACTGTCATAGGTATGTCTCTTTAGGGTTCCATACTATCCATAATTTGAGGCTCCACACAGGTCTGGATACGTGTCCCTTACAGTAAGGTGGGACCACTGTACTTGGTCCATTTCAAGAACTTCACTTTCTCACTTTCTCATCTGCAACCTGGAGATGACCACAGTTAGTATGATCCTGAGTGCTTGTAGGGACTGAATGAAATACTGTATATAGAGTGCTTCCTATGGGAATTGCCTGATAATAAGTGCATGTGCCATTCGATCTTGTTACTTGACGGGGTTGCTATACTTACCAGTGAGCTAAACCTCTGATGTTCATAGCTGAATGTACTGTTAGGAGGTGAGGTCCAGAGAAGGTGGTCACTGGGGACGTGTCCTTGGGAGAATACACCTCTTGCTGGCACTCCTGCCCTGTGCTCTGCTTCTCAGCTGCCATGAACTGAACAGTTTTGTGCTACCACACCCTTCTGCCATGATTATTTCTGTCTTAGAGTCAGCTCACCACGGACTGAAACCACCAAAACTGTGTGCCGAATTTAACCACTCATCCTTTAAGTATTGAGTGTGAGGTATTTAATCCCAGCAACAGGAAAACTGGCCAGTACAGTGCTCAGTAACGTAACTAGTCATAAGTAAATAAACATATGTACCTACAAAACACTGATATTTTTGAAGAAATATTCCTCTCTTCAATAGATTTAGAACATTCTCATTGAGTCTCATTAAACAGTTATCATTTACAGTATGCCTGAATTATAGGTACATAGCTAAAATATGATAAATTACAACTAAGTTGTATTAAATATAAACTTATGTATTTATAAACTAAAAATTTCCATGAAATCCAACACTAGGTCTACATAAACAATCCTATTTGGCTAAATGTCAAGAAAGACATCTTTTACATTCATTTGCGTGGTGTTAAAAAACAATGCATAAAACTCATACTCAGTGGATACCAAGATAATAGCAAGATTACATCTCACCAAAATTTATATCCCCTCTTCCCCAAGGAGTACTAGTAAATTACAGCAGGTGCTCCAATTCTCACTGATGCTTTTATTCACATTCAGATATGTCTTAAGGTAATGCTCTATACAGAAAATCATACCATTAAAATGTCACCCACCACATAGAGCTGCTTCCACATGGTCCCCCAGTCCCTTAATGTGGATGTCATTTCTGTGATAACAGAGTCTTCAGTAGGAATAACCATTTCAAATTGTCTGTGAAAATAAAAGAGAAAAAGCTTATATGTAAATATAAAAGACAACAATTTTGTGTTTTTTTAACACTCTAAAAGATAAACCAGGAAAGAGAGCTGTCCGGCTATTCCGGGTTCTGCAGACAATAAACAGGATCTGATTTCGAGCTTGCAGAAAGAACACTACAGTGCAGCGGTACAGTGCCCAAGGGACCAGCCACTGCACCCAGATCAAGTCTGCACGGTGCTGTGGAGAAGAACAGCATAAGCATTTTGCCCTAGTGACAGTCTGACCACTAGATAACAACTCTGTCATCCTTTCCAAGGTTGACATGAACTCTGAGACAACCTTTGCTTTCAAGTACTATGACCACAGGACTCAAAAGAAGTAAAACAAAAACAGCTCAGCCACAAGGATGCAATGGCTGCGAACATTCAGACTAACTCAGTGTTATAAATAACCAGACACTGAGATACTGAGCATTTACTTCGGCTCATTAATCCTGCATTTATCTCAACAGTGAAAAGGGTCATGGAAAATCATTAGTATTAGTAGTAATAACATCATGCAGCATAGTATTTTAAAGGCTTAAGACATCACAGATATTTGAATATTCATTCCAAAATATTTCTGGGATTAGGGGAATACAGTCTTTCTGTTTCTACTTTAAAAGTAAGGAACTGGGGGCTGGGGATTTAGCTCAGTGGCAAAGCGCCTGCCTGGCAAGCGCAAGGTCGTGAGTTCGGTTCCCGGTACCGGAGGAAAAAAAACAAAAAAAAACCAAAACAAATAAAATAGTTTTTTAAAAATAAAAATAAAAAATAAAAGGAAGGAACTGTACTTGGAAATTATTCCTATAAATGTTTAGTAGAAAATGTATGGTTACCCCAAAGTTGAGAAGAAGCACAAGAAAATAAGGGAAAAAAAGAGAAAGTTTTAATTTGCCTTTTACATCCTGCCTTTGACATATAATGATCTCCTTTTCTTCATCTCTAGCTTTTTTTTTTTTTTAAACCCTTTTTGGGTTTTGCGCAGGTTAAAGTTGTTAAGTGGCTATCCTTACTACTTCATCTCAAAAGAATGCTACCAGCTATACTGATGGGTACCTTTTCTTCATTTCAGTGAATTTTTCTCAAGGACAACATCTAATATGTAAAACGTAACAGCCTATTGGAGACTGAATTGGGTTGTCTCAATGATCAAGGGAAAATTACTTATTAACATGAGGCTAATAACTGCTCCTTAGTTCCTTTTTGATGTTATGTTGAAAGTATGCATAATTGTCTTTTGTATAATCTCCTTACAGAAGCGCGGGAACTAAAATCTTTCCTTGGTTCCCTCACCAGTACAGCTCTACCTCATTTATATTTCTGCTAAGATACCTGCCCTGAGAATATTTTTCTTCCTACAACTTCAACAGCTGAAAACGTAAAACGAGAATTTAGAACTCAAACGAAAATAAACAGTAACATATAAACTGTTAACACATACAGAACCTTTTCTTGAGCCTGCATATGACATTCTCCAGTGCCAATATATTTACTTTGCTTTTGAAGCAGCTGTCACACTTTAAATGATGAATGTGTGAAGATGGAGATTCTTAGATGATCTTATACCACCTCAAGGAAGGAACATGAATTTCCAGGAAAATTTGACATCCTAGTCAGCGTTTCGAAAGTGACATTATCTCAGCAGGAACTGAACAATACAACAGCAACCTTATTGCTCACAAAACGTGATTTAATTTAAGGACCTCCATCAGTCCTGTATTGCTTGAAAGATCCAGGAAAAAACAAAAACAATTTCATCTGTGAAAAGTTGGTTTGGGGATTGTTGAAACAAAACTGGCATTTTTAGGCAAGACAGCTATTTCCTATTAATCATACAAAAACTAAAACCAGAACTCAAATAGTCTGTCATAAATAGTTGCCCTGTTCAGTTATTCCAGGATGTACTTTGCAGCAACTTTAAAGCGGAGAGTCATCAGGTATCCACTTCAGATAAGAAAGGTAATATCAAAAGTAAAGCGCTAACAAGTATCTGGCAATACACGGCCTCAAATGTTTTCAGGCCTAAGTTTTTCTTCCAATAACAGTCCCAGAAACTTGGACCTGCACCAATTCCAGAAATTTCTTAAAAAATAAAGTTTGACCTGGAGCTCTTCTGCTGTAAAATACTCATCATGCCTGGTGTGAGGCAAAGAATCCATAAGCAATTCTTGAATTTGCACAACCAGATGTGGTGACACCTTTACTACAATTAAACTTCGTTAGGGCTCATGGAAGGGAACCCGATGTATAAAACAAGTTAAAAAAAAAAAAAAAGAAAAAACTGACAGGAAAAAAGAAGGCAGTTACTTTAAAACTATGCCCCACTCCAACTGAGTTTCAAGGGTGAAGTTTAACCAAATAACATCATTTTTACAAGCATACCCTTCTCTTTCTCTTCGTCAGAGTGTAGGATGGGCGCTGGGTGGCCCACGGCTCAACAGATCTGAAGAGTGTTAAGGATGGTAGTGGGTAAAGACAGCAAAGAGGATGGGGCTGTAAGGGTCTGCTCACACGTAACGGCACAAGGTAGAACCTGAAGTTTTCCTGCGAAGCCCAGAGTGGAAAGATCAGAACAGAGTCAGCACTGGCTAGAGTGATTTCTGAGTTGCCCTCCCATTCCCTTGAGGGAAGCTGGCCAGAGTCAAAACTAGCCTGGGCCAGTTCCAAAAGGACCTGTACGCTGCTTGACACTTCTGGTGACTTCTAGCATTTGTAGTATAAAGAGGTTACTCGTACCAGTGGTAAATATTATTACTAGAATTATACTTTTAAACTATTATCTCAAAAATTATATTACTACTACTAATACTGCTTACAGTACCTGACATATACAAAGTGTGATCAAAAACTATGGTGAATGTTTAAATTTAAAAAAAATTACTGTGAAACACACACTGCCATTAACTCTCCAAGTAGTCCAACTGGGCTTCGAACACTCTCTCCTTGGCACTTTCTGAAGCAGCTCTAGAAGTCCTCTCTTGTGTGTCTTTCAGGTGCACCGTCCTGGCTGATGTACTGAATTGGTTAAAAATGTTCACCTTTCATGGTGGCTCTGATTTTGGGGAACAGTGAGAAGTGACATGGAAAAGCCAGGAATAAGGTGCATGAGGACACACTCACATTTTTATAAACCTGCCTTTCCATCGGATGCCACTCAGCAGCAGCTGTAATCACATCTTGTGAAGACACTCACGAAAGGAGAATGAGAATTACACAGTAATCCAGAAAAGAATTTTTGTGACACTGGCAAATGTTTGTGTCCAAATGTTACAATGAATGATCTGTTCCTCTTAAATACTTAAGCAGACAAGCTCTACTCTTTTATTCAGCAGGATCTTATTTGAATGATGTTATCCTGAGAGCTGCTTCCAACCATTTAGAAATAGATGAGGGAAAATTGAAGCACACAAGTAAGCCTAAGTAATCAGGAGCTAAATCTAACCAGGTGATTCTCTAAAGCAGAATAATGGTTTTATAAAGCGGTCACCCAAGGATATTGCGTTATGTCGGTCATTTGGAAAACATCAGATGTGGCTTCTTGTAATCAGTGGGGAATTGAGGAAATTCCTAGGCTTTGAGGCAATATGACTCACCATTTTATGGGCCTCACTGCCATGCTTCCCTAAACAGCAGGAAACCAAAGGGAACCAACTCTTCCTGCTTAAGATTCAGCTTGTTCTATGATTTGTGGACAGTGAGACACCTCAGTGCCCCCGGGGCCTCCCACTGTCCAGCACGCACAGATGGATTCTTCTATCCCCCAACTGCTTTAGTCAATATCTTTTCATCAGACAGCACAGACGATGGTATGATCTTGGACAGTTCACTTTTCAAGACAATAACTAAGCCTCTCAAATTCCAAAATAGGTAATGGTTCTGTAAAAATCCTCCAATATTAATAAAACTCATTTCTTACCCTTTATTCTTTACACAGGCATTTTTCAAGTGAACATAGCTGGAAGGAAATATACCCTGGAAGAGAAAAGAGGAAGGTTATAGTGCTGTGTTTTAGGGCGGGCTAAGTTCAGCAGCCCACGGGCAAAGCACAGTCATGTACCCAGGACAGCAGCGGGACAGCACAGAACAGCATCTGCACTCCATTCTCTAGGCTGAAATCTTTTTGTGCTTTGTATCTATCTACTTTTTTCGTTTTCTACTACCAATTCCTTTACAAATTTAGAGATTCTCTAAAATAAACAAAAATGAAAAAACTCAGTCTCACTCGAAGATATTCCTTGAAAAACAGAAATTAAAATTCTACATAAAAATGATGTTAATAAGCATTTTTAAATATTGCATAGTTTAAAGAGACAGATGGGGGGCTTGTTTGTTTTATTCTTTTTCTTCTTCCCCAAGCACTCAAGATTCTATTTAAAAATACATACTGAAAAAAAACTGAATTTGGAGACAGTATCTGTATTGTACGTGTCACAGGAGATCCTTAATGACAACACAGCAGCAATTAATCACTGTGCAGCCACTCCGATGGAGCAAAAATTAAACAATGAAGCCATGCTAGTTTAATGCTTTGTACTGCGGGAAAATAATAGGGCAAGAAAATTGCTCCTTTGTTCTAAATGGGAAATCGAAAGAAACAGAACAACAAAATGAGCATCAGTTTTATTGTGTATTAAGTGACAGTATCCTCTCATGAATTCCTGATGTATAATCAAATGACAAACTCAATTAAATATTTATGAAAACAAATGTCATTCGAACACGCTATTGCTGTTGTGCATCTAAGCAAAAAGTAAAATTTAGTGAGAAAAATCCTACATATATAGTAGTAGTAAACACAGATATGGATTTTTTTAAAAAAATCATGTTTTTGTAAAAGTTTAAATTTACCTTAATGTATTAAAAGTAACACATAATTATAATTGATGAGGAAAGAATTTAAGGCTTGTTAAACATGTGTAGTAAAAGAGAAAATATAATAAATGCTCTACATGAATAGTTAAATACTGAAGCTATATGCCCTTCAGATACCCAAAAAAAGATTAAATGAGGCTAACATTAAAATTCGTATATACTTTTGTCCCTTACACTCTCCTTTAGAATGACCTAAAATAATGAAGTAATTAAACATCATTGAATGTCCCAGCAAAACTACACTTAAGCAAAAAGGTAAAAAAGATGCTATCTTACGTTGTATTTTAAGAATGATAAATGACAATTGCTTATTCACAATTGTAATAAACCTAGAGTTAAACTCAAACTGAATATAACATATAAGAAAATATTAGAGACCATGGGAAGAAGCCAGGGCAATTAGAATAACGTAGAAAAAGGTATTTGGAAGGACCAGTGTCAAAATCACAAACTATTCAAGCTAAAGCTAAAAGAAAAACCATATCACGTTCTACTAGAAACTCTGAGGTTTATATAACTACATAAAGGATAATGAATCTTAGTATCTATTGGAATGGTGAGAGAAATGAGGATTTTTCTAATATGGATTTTTCAGGTTCAGCTGCCCAAACGCAAAAGGACTCTTAACACTCCATTAAAATAAACTTGTTCCTCCACAGCAGCATTTTATAAATAATACTATAAAAGCTTAAAGATTAAATACCTTTTTTCAATATTTCTTTTTGGACATATATATATTTCCCCTGCCTAAATTTTAATTTAGCTCTCAGAGAAACTAATACTTCAAAAAGATTTTGTTTCTATATATTAAGCTTATTAAGTACAATTTTAAAGAGCTATACAGGATTATCATTTGAGTAGCATATTTTAACTGTATTCCAAGTTCAAAGGAGTTTCCAAAGTTCTGAAAATCTGTATTACCACTCTGCATTTCAATGAGGAGTATCAACTTTAATTTCAATTGTAAAATAAGATAATTTAAATGTTTAACTTTTTGTAAAGTAGCAGTTTTTACCTTGATATTTGGGTTTTTTAAGGCAAATCCTCTGTACCAGCCTGTGGAAAAATAATCACTGTTACATTTTTATATATCATAATGTTTTAAAAATAACAAATAACAAATTAATCTGTTCTTTGCTGATGGAATTTTCTTATACAGGTAAATATTCTGTGTATACACATGGTAGTTGTTATGCTAAGGATAGTTAACAGCTCAAGTAATTACTAGTATTTCACTACTTTCCTGTTTATAAAAATCTATCAGAAACTTACATAAAAAACAGACAAAAGGTTTTAGAATCAGAGTACTGAACTTACATTTTGGCTCTGGTATTTACTCTTGGGCAAATGATATGACCTTTCTGAGTGTCACTTCTCCCCATTTTATAAAGGCCCCATTATTTTTAAAGGAAATTCAAGAGTCCACACAAGATTGAACATATTTCCAAACTCTGCTTGCCTAATTAAAAGGTGCAGAATCTACCACCAAATAATAGTGCTAGACCAGCAGGTATGCAATGAATCTGCACATCATCACACCCAGCATCTTGGGTTAGGATCAGTATCATGAGAAGAGCAAAGCTAGGGTTCCTTATTGCCAGAATTAACCAGTATACATTCACGGCCTCATCAGCACTATGTCTTAGCAACTGAGCTCCCCATAATTTGTATTCTACACAATATCTGTTACTTAAGCTCAATTTTACAATGCTATTCTTAGGGAAGAACAAGTCTCTTTATAATTTAAAACAAACATATGTAGTATATTTATAGACATATATGACTAAAATATAGCCCAATTTAATTGTAATACTCTCAGATTACATTTTCTTCCAAGAGTAGAAACTACTTTGCTTACTGGAAAGAAATTACTTTGTTATGTAATAAATGTTCTATCTAATTGCATTTCTGGCCTATTAAACTTTTGAAAACAAATATTTGAGCTTTGTACTTAAACATTTTTGTTACTCATAAAACATTTTCTTAAAAAGATATACAATACAGTACTATAAAATACCATCCCTAGTAGCTTTAAAATAAGTGTGCAGAAAAGAGAATGAATGGAAAATCAGAGTCTCTGTATCTCAAGATTTATTACAGTCTGACAAGGACAAATCCAAGAAATATATTCACTTGTAAATCATCATTCTAGCAGAAACCACAACTTTTTGAGAAGTGTAGAAATGTCACTGGGAGAGTCTATTCAATTACCCCATCTAGAAAAGTTCTGAGATTATACATCACTTCCCATTATATAGGGGGCACATTTGCATGCACCAATTCAAAATCGATTTTATGTCCATCTGTATACACGGCAGAAATAAACAAAATGCATCTGCTAATGATAGAGGAACTCATTATATTTTTACAAGTCTCAACTGCAGTGGGCAGAATAAACATCCATGTATCACCACCATTTAGTGTCAGGCTTTAGCTTAATGTAATAATTCTGTCTGGGGGAACACAATTTAATCTATGGTGCAACTTGATAACACAGAATGGTGTCATATTACAAATGCCTACTAAGAAAAGCCTTCCAGCAGGAAAATGAATATTTTTGGCATTCTAAAATACAGTCATTCTGTTAACAAGAATTTTAAAAAGTAGTTATTTCATCTTTTTTAAGAAGTAGAATTTAAGGATGTTTAAGAAATAGAAACACTTGAGAATATATTAAGTAACTTTAGTGAACTACCTGCTACATAAATTAACAATAATCATTCATGGTCATAACATTCTACTAACATTTCAATTGCACTGAATAATTCTGTTCCAAATTGGGGAAGGAGGGCTAGGGATATAGCTCTCTGGCACAAGCTCCTGCCTGGCAAGTGCAAGGTCCTGAGTTTTAATTCCCAGTTCAAAAAAAAAAAAAAAAGAAAGAAAGAAACGAAAACGAAAACTAAACAAATAAATAAAAACAAATAGGGGAAGGAGAAACACTGGAAGACCAGAGCAGACTGGGCCAGGACAGGAGTCCTTGAAGAAGCACTGGGTCATCCAGTCTCAAACTCACCCACCTGCTAGACCTCCACAGGGAGGAGGCAAGGGGCGTCTGCTAGACTTGAGATTCTGAGAAAAGCTTTCTAGTGTGCTACCGAGTCATGAACACCACACATAAGGCAGCTTCAGTTGCTTTTGTTGCCATGTGATGACCGTAAGTACGTAATATCAGGAAACACATGACAACTCCAAAACACCAAATACTGCTATTCCATTAGTCAATGTGAACACACAAGGAACAAGTTCTGTAAAAAACGTTTTGCTGTGATTACTGGGAAAGGTACAGAGTTTAACAGAGTAAGGAGAGGATGTGTCAACTTTTTGAAGAGCCCAACATCAAGGAGGCGACTCACACAACCACAAGCAATCAGCACGAGGCCGCTCACCATCACACTTCTCCAGGATCTGAACTGTGTCTCCGATTTCCAGTGACAAGCCATATGGGACGGTTCCTCGAAAACTGGCAATAACTGTAAGGAATGATACAGAATATGTGAAGGCAATCTTGTCAGTTACAGCCAGTTATAGTGCTTACAATTAAATGTTAATGACTACAAAAAAAGCATGTGAATAGGAAGTACACTTTTATAGCTAGAACCTGCTGTCAATTTACATATATCTATATATATAACTACATATACCTATATATCTATATAGAAATATCTATATATAACTATACTCTTTCTCTCTCTATATATATATATCTATACATATAGTTGTTTACATTTTTTATTCTCTCATCCCCTTTCCTCCCTACTCCATCCATCTCCTGGTCCCCTTCCTTTTATTGTTTTGTACGTGTTTGCCATGCGTAATATTTACATTCCTTGTATGGGGTTAGTACATGTACGTAACACATCTTGTATTTTTAAAAATATCATTAAATTCATATGCTTTGCCAACTTCAACTTCTTGGTGAAATAAACATTATAAATATGCACTTCAAAAATGTGAAATTTACTGTAAGCAATATAGAAACTAACAAGAGTACTGCTGCTACAAGAATGTTGTGCAATTACATATATAAACAAAGGTTATTGCCTGAAGAGATCTAGGAAGGACTGTCTCCCAAGCACTGCTACATCTATCCCCCACCCGTGTCTGGTCTAAAGTAGTTAGTCAATATGTGTTCGGTAATAAAGGGAGATTACACTTCCTACTTGTTAATAAGCTTGGCGCTATGGCTTGTATCCTGACATCCCCCCCAAACCTGATGCACTCATTAAGTGTGGCTCTTTTGGAGCGGATTGGATTTACCACATGTGATGCTGGGGTTAAGGGTGTGTGGTACTAAATTAGTCCACTAAATGGAATGAGCATAGTTCTGGGTGGCACAACTCAAAAAGCAGGTAGCCTGGATGGGATAAAAGGGAAAGGCAGGCTGGCTGCTGGCTGCTGGCTGCTGGCTGCTGGCTGCAGCTGCTGGCCACTTGCTGTCTTCTGCCTGCAACACCATGAACTGTTTCTCCTCTCCGAGGCCCCTCTGCCCTGCCAGCCTGTCTTGGAGCCCACCGACTATGGACTGAACCCTCTACCAACTGTGAGCCAAAATAAACCTGTCCTCCTTCAACTTTGAGTGTCAAGTATTTCGTCTGCAACAAGAAAATTAACTAAGTCAATTTCTAAGTGTATGACTTCACGTCTTGCCTCTACTTATTCTGCCACAGAGGAATCATACTATAAATAGAACTATCACTCTACTTAAAATCTCCCATGGTTCACATTTCTGCTATAGTGTCTTGGATTTCTTTTATCCTAGACTGCGAGTTTCTCAAGAGAAGGGACTGCATTTTTGCCTCACTATTATGTTTGTGGCATAAAAGCAGTCTTCTTGTGGTATTATCAATGGTGACATTTTATTAGGTAATGACTGTACCCTCTCTAGGAATAAACACAGATGCTTTAGCTCTCTTATTAATTAGAATGGATGGAGGTCACCATTAATTATAGAATAACAGTTTACATTAATTGGCTTCACAAACATTTCACAAGGTGGGGCGTAACTGGGACATACTACAGACAGGATATGTGCATAGATTAGTCATTCTGGGCAACTCCAAGAGCTACAGAGAGAATTAAGTTTTGCCCCTGGACAGTAAAGCGTGCGTCACAGAGGAGGCAAGGATGGAAGAATAAAGAAAATACATCTGAATACATAAGTAGAGGAAAGATATCTCCTATGAAATGCTATGTATACTGTAATCAACTTAAAACTCACAGGAGACAAAGAGGATTTTTAAAGGTAATTCTTTTCAATAATGACTGAACCCAGGGCCTTTACACTGAGCTACACCTCCCACTACCCCTTCTTCTTTTTAAGAGTTTTTAAAATTTTGAGACAGGGAAGTCTGTAAGTTGCTTGCCCGGGCTGGGTTCAACCTTGTGACTTCTGCCTCAGGCACCCAGAGTGCTAGGTAAAGGCAAAAAAATTTTAAGTGACTTATAATTTTGTTTCAGATAGTAATGTTTAGATATAACCTCGACACCCAAAGTAAGTTTCTGCTACTATAGGGAACATATTTTAAAAGTCTGAAGAAACACATGAGTCTGTCAAAACTCAAAAGCAGCAATAAGAAATGGGCTTTTAGAGGTGTCTCAAGCCCTTTTATGATCTCAGAACAAAATTAACAATAGAGACCAAAACACAGGACAGAAAAAACAACCTAAACTACCATTTGTGCTTATTTTTTTCTCTTTTGCATGTGGCATCAGGAAACTTCTTAAAAAGAAAATGGTAATAAAATATGTAATACAGTACTGGACAACGGCTTCACAAAGTTAACCACTTTCTTCATATTGCATGTTGCTACCGAGCTCATAATCTTTAGGCGTCCCCAAGCCCGGCTCACTTCTATCATATCTGAACCCAGGGTCACCCACACACCCCGACACTTACAATCAATCCATTACTGCATCAAAATGATCTCATTTCTGAAATATGAATCCAAACCGTCCTTTGGTCAACATCTCTGCTCCCTCCACTACAAGAGCCTTGCTCTCACCTCTTCCTGGCTCTTCGGCAGCAGCCCCCTAACGTGCCCACGCACGGGTTCCTCCCCAGCCCATTTCACACACAGTACCTGAGAGCCTTTAAAATGCACATTAGCTGATGTCACCCGACCTGTATGTATCGGAGGTGTGGGAATAATAGAAAAATCACTGCCTCAGCCTTCTCTCTGCATCCCAACTCGACTCTGCTCCAGTCACTGTCAGTTCCCTGCGGGTTACAGTCCCTCCTCAAAGAACTTCGAGCATCGTGGGTTTCCTTTCCCTCCTTACCAGGTTAACCCAAATGCAACCTCCCAGTGTCAGCTCAGTGGTCCTGTCCTCAGAGAGGTCCTCCTTGATGCCCATCCCGTCCCCTCAATTTACATGTACCCATAGCACCTCATACTATTTAATTACGCCCTTTACTTTTTGAAGTTTTTAAATGACAGCCCCTGCAACAGATCGTGAGCCCCAGGAGTAAGCACTGTGTGGCTTTTAGCCCCTAATTTTACGCGCGGTTCGGCAAAGTCTGGTACACAGTCTGAGCTCAGTGAGTCATCACTGTATGAATGAATCAGGGCTGGGCCCCTCCTGTTACATGTTCTAACCAGAAGCCACACGTTCCTTTCTCACCGGGAGTACTATTTAACAGGGTGCTCACAAGCCTAAGACTGAAAGTTCACGTGAAAATTCATTCTCTCACAGGAGCTATTTAAAACTGGAATAATGGTTTTTCTAGGTCAAAATCATGTATTAGCTCATTTTTTACCCAATAATTCTACAGGGGTGAATTCAGATGCTACTCTCCAGTTGTGTACTATTTAATCACTACTAAAAGTCACCGAAGAACATTTTCCTCCCTCATGGCTTGCAGATGCCTCCTCTATAAAGCAAGGGAAACTGAAAGGCCTCCGCCCACTGGAAATTCTGAATCTGGGAGAGGCTTGGAGCTCACATTGCTACGGCGAAAGACTTACTTAAAAACTCTGTCCCTAAACCAGCCTCGTCTGTCAAAGGACACCTCTGGGCACCTGCACCCGTCCTCGGCTAGAGCTGCAGGACAGGCGCGCACTCTCGGCATCTCACGTGAGCCTCCAACACCTCTTCTCCTTCCCCCTTTCCGGGCTCACGTCTTATCTCTCCACA